AGTGAGACCCTACCTGCACGCTTAAAGGAAATTATTAATATCCTCCATGGTTTCATCCAATGATTGTGAGTATCCTGAACTAAATTATCCTTACCTTTTTTACCTTGTTATTATCAACTTTAAAACTTACTAACTCAAATTTAAAATATATATATATAGTAGTCTAGCTTTAATTTATCAAAGGTCAGTCAATCGCTCAAATGATCTTTTAACTTGAAATATGCTTTCAAATATTAGTATTAGTGCATGGAACATACATGGTATGAACCATAGAACGTTTGGAAACAAACTTCTTAATGATGATTTCTTATACCATGTAAAAGACCATGATTTTATATTTTTAACTGAAACATGGTCAGTTAACATTAACAGCATTCCTGGTTTCAAGGCTATATCCACATGTACTGCAAGGCCAAAATCTAATTCTGCCTGCCGTATATCTGGTGGTATTTCTCTGTTATTTAAAACAAAATTTCAATCAATGGTCACTACAGAGAAGTTAACCAAAAATTTTCTGTGGTGTCGCATTGATAAATCAATATTTAACTCGTCAAAAGACCTGTTTTTATGTGGTGTATATATTCCCCCTATAAAATCACCATACTTTGATGAAGAAATATTTGAAAATTTAGAGACCGATGTATTGCATTACTCGCAAAAAGGAAATGTAATGCTACTAGGAGATTTTAATGCCCGAACTAGTAAACTTGAAGATTTTATATCCAAGGAAGGAAATACATTTATAAATGATATAACAGAAAATTCTTTTATTCCTGCAAAAAGGAACAATTTTGATGGTTCAGTTAATGAACATGGTAAATGCTTAATTGAGCTATGTAAGAATTGTAATTTAAGAATTCTGAATGGTAGAACCCTTGGTGACTCCCTTGGCAAACCAACTTATCATGGAAAAAATGGCACAAGTCTAGTCGATTACGCAATTTGTGATCAAGATTTTACACAAATAGTTGAAAACCTAGTTGTAAAACCTCCAACCTACTTATCTGACCATTCTCAAATTTTGACTTGGATTAAAACAAAACAACCAAATAATCAAAACTCTACTGATGTCACAAATATTGCTACCCCTAATATTCAACATAAGCTCCCTTTGCAATTCATGTGGGAAAACAACTCAGCTATTTTATTTAGAGAAAGCTTTCAATCATTAGAAACCCAAACTAAACTTAATCAATTGATTAATTCTCCCACTCCATTATCGAAAGAAGGAATAAGTGGGTTTGCATCTGAATTTCAAAATATTATTTTACATGCAGCTACAAAATCACTTAGAATCAAGAAGACAAAATATAGACATAAGATTACCAATGTTTGTAATAAGAAATGGTTTGATAAAGAATGTAGACTTAAACGTCACAGCGTCAGAAAATTAGCTAATCAAAAACACAGAGATCCATTAAATAATGAAATACGAAATGAATATCACAATGCTCTTAGGATTTACAAAGACACTTTGAAGCACAAAAAAGAATTATTCCATGAAAACAAACTGAATGAATTGGAAAGAGCTTCTGAAACTGATTCAAGTTTATTCTGGAACACTCTAAAAAATATGAGTGATAGCTATGATGACTTTTCCTCTAGTTCACCTGATATAACTACCCAAAATTGGGTTTCCCATTTTAAACAGCTACATGCAAAACATAATCTAGGTACTGAACAAGAAAATATTTTACAACAACTAGATATGCTCAAGAATAACAAAAAAGAAAATAATTTTCTTGATAACCCTATTTCTGAAAGCGACATTCTTAATGCAGCCAAGAAATTAAAAAACCGAAAATCAGCATACTCAGATAAGATAAAAAATGAAATGATCAAATCGAGTGTAGAAATTCTTCTTCATGGTTACTATAAATTATTTAATCTCATCTTAGAATTTGGAAGTTTTCCAGACCAATGGTGTGAAGGCCTAATAACACCCATCTTTAAATCTGGAGATAAGAATGACACCAATAACTACAGAGGAATTTGTGTCACAAGTTGTCTGAGCAAATTCTTCTGCATAATTCTTAATGAACGCCTAAATGGCTATGCTCAAGAAAATGACCTGGTCCACCCATCCCAAATTGGATTTCAATCTGGTCACAGAACTGCTGACCATATCTTCACTTTAAAAACACTTTTTGATAAACACATGAGCACAAACAGAAACGACAAAGTTTATGCGTGTTTTGTGGATTTTAAAAAAGCGTTCGACTCAGTATGGCATGAAGGCCTATTTTTTAAACTCCTTGAAAACAAAATTGATGGAAGTTTCTTTAGACTGATTAAAAGCCTCTATGCAAATTCGAAATGTGCAGTCAAGCTATCTAAATCAAGAACAGAATTCTTTTCATACTCTAGGGGTGTACGCCAAGGATGTGTACTAAGCCCAATTCTGTTTAATTTATACATTAATGAGCTAGCAACAATATTTGAAAATACTAACTCAGACCCATTTATCCTTCCAAACGGCACTAAACTGAGTTGTCTTCTATATGCTGACGACTTAATAATATTATCAAAATCAAGATTTGGACTTCAAAAATGCCTTGATGAACTTCAAAACTGGTGTAATAAATGGCTGATGGAGGTAAACCTCAAGAAAACAAAAATCATGATCTTCAAAAAAGGGAATCCAAAAATGATTAAACCAAATTTTATGCTAAATACCAAAAATGTCGAAATAGTAAATGAATATTGCTATTTAGGTATTAAATTAAATTCAAATGGCACTTTCACACTGGCTCAAAAACAACTGAGCGAAAAAGCACTACACGCATTAGGCAGCATACGAAGACACCTCAACCTACATTACCTTAATCCTAAATTAGCTATCAAGATATTTGAAAGCATAATATCACCCATACTCCTATACAACTCAGATATATGGGGTGCTTATCTCAAAAATGATTTCAACAAATGGGATAAGTCACCAACTGAGAAGGCCCACCTACGGTTCTGTAAATTATACCTAGGTGTAGGAAAAAAAGCTAGCAATATGGCTTCGAGAGGAGAACTAGGAAAATTCCCTCTACAAATTAGTATATACAAACGATTATTCAACTATATAGCACACTTGAATTCATTACCTGAAACAGCAATTGCAAAACAAGCTTTCTTAATATCAAAAGACCTATACTCGAATAATAAAATATCCTTTTATAAAAATGCTATGGATATTTTAAAACACTACAAATGCCACTCGCAAATAGTGGATTTAGAATCAATATCTGCTCAATCATTAAATTCTATCATTGACACTGTTAAACAACGTTACATTACATTCTGGAAACACCAAATTGAACACTCGTCCAAATTATATTTCTACTCAACTTTCAAAAAGGAATACCAATTAGAAAAGTATCTTATCGTAATAAGAAACACAAACCAGAGGAGATCACTGACTCGATTCCGAATAAGCAATCACAAATTAATGATTGAATGTGGTAGATACCACAACATTCCCCGAGAAGAACGAATATGTAAGCTTTGTAAATCAAACGAAATAGAAAATGAGGAACACTTTCTTATTTCATGTGATGCCTATGACAATATTAGGCAAGACTTCCTCACTGTTCTCGCCAACAATACATACCAAAGAGAACAAAATGTATCAGTTGACATATTAAAGTCAACTGAAAATGAAACAATTCTAAAACTATCCAAGTTTGTTCTTTCCGGTTTCGAGCTAAGAGATAAACGCCTTGAGACCAGGGATGCTGAACACTAAAGTTCAATATTATCGTATTTGACCTCTATCTTGTAAATAGCTTCTTTAACTTATTGTAATCTTGTAATAGGTCGTATTTAGCCTGTAGTAGTTAACTTTAGTCTGTATGTTTAGTTATTGTAGTTAAAGCTTTAGCAATACCTGTAACTGTTGGTCATGCTAATAAAGTTATTATACCATAAAAAAAAAAAAAATATGCAGGGGGGGGCCATCATTAAATTTCTGCCATTTAGGGGGGGGGCTTTCAATTTTAAAAATTTAGAAAAGAAAATATTCCCCTCCCCCTTCCATAAATAATGACCGGTCCCTAACCAATATCAACAGTCTTGAAAAAACAATCTGAATAGATTACTATAAAACTACACACTATCAAAGCAAATCTATATAAAAGTACAATAACCGTAGCTGTCAGGTGTGTATAGTGTTCAACAGAATAACTATAAGTATAAAGCTGTACCTAATACAGTCAGTATCAGTACATCCAATGACCGTGGCTTTCCGATATGTACAGTGTTAAACAGACTGACAATTTAAACATGATAACTATAATAAGTATAAAGCTGTACCCAATGTAATATATCAAATGACCGTAGCTGTCCGATCTAGAGTGTTGAACAGGACAATTTAAACATGATAGCTATAAGTATAAAGCTGTAACCAATACAGTACATGCTGCATCAACGACCGTAGCTGTACGATGTACAGTGTACAGTGTTGAACAGAAAAATTTAAACAGAACAACTATAAAACAGCACCCTTATTGATACAACGGTACAGGTAGCTGTCCAATGGCAGTACAGTGTAAGTAAATCCAGGTGGTAATGCTGCCTCAGTGTCCAATGTTCTTTTTCTTTTTAGACCATTTATAATTGTTACCAAACTGTGAATAAACATAAATATCTACATTGAAAAGGGAATGGCGGCAAAAATTTCAATATCAGTCCCCCACACACCACTGTTCCTCATGTTGCTTGTGGCTAAATAATGATCTACTGAACTATTCATATATGGTCTAAGGACATGTTCTATACTGTTCATGTGATCCACTATTTTTTGTCTTAAAATCATGTGGTATGTTTGTCTACCGGTTAAAATATATGACAGTGCTCTAAATAAACAATTGCCATCCCCTGTAATCCGACAGAGTTTCGTTGGATTAACTAGTGGTTTTGATGTTGTTTCATTGCGTCTAAATATAAGTGGGACATTCATCAAAGAGCATAAGGACAGCTGAAATTCTCCTGATAGAGGATAAAAATGAAGCGATCTATCGATACACTGCTGAGACTCGTCCGTGCCAGCTGATACTAGGCTACAGTGCAAGCGCAGTCATGTGAAATATACAACGGCAACGTGACTTTAATACCAAGATTTTGTGTCGTGTTGCTTCAAATAAGACAAATATGTCCTTTGTATTCCGTGACAGCTAAAACATGAATTATTTAAATAACATGATTAAATTTGGTAAACAAAAAACTCTTTCAATCGACAGAAACTATGGAAACAGTGTTGAAACGGTGTTGAAACACAGCTGACAGAGGCGCTCGAAAGGCACCAGAAAATGTGAACACTTGTATATATATTGAACAAAATATTGTTAATAATTCAGCTAAAAGGTAGATCAGTGTGTTAACAGCAGATCTGTTGGGTGAAGTAGAAAAACAGATAACAATTAAGTCAACTAAACAAAAACGAAACACTCACCTTTTAATTTAGCATACGCTTGTCAAAAAGTCAAAAGTTGAAAAGAACGTGAAGCGTGCTCCAGCCCGATTTCCGGTTCCAAATGACCCGTTCGCAGGCAAACACTGCGCGCAAAGCAGGCTGGTCATTTCCCATTGTTTAACTGCCCCACTCAAGTAAACCACAAAGACTCACAGATGTTGCTTCGCAACATCCGTG